GGGGGGGGTTCGCAGAGTTTGACATGAGTAAGTTACTCGTCCGTCGCAGAGTTTGACATGAGTAAGTTATACGTCTGTCGCAGAGTTTGACTCGCAGAGTTTATTTAACATGAGTAAGTTATACGTCTGTCGCAGAGTTTAACATGAGTAAGTTATACGTCTGTCGCAGAGTTTGACATGAGTAAGTTATACGTCTGTCGTAGGGTTTGATATGAGTAAGTTATACCTCCGTCGCACAGTTTGACATGAGTAAGTTATACGTCAGTCGCTGAGTTTGACATCAGTAAGTTATACGTCTGTCGCAGAGTTTGACATGAGTAAGTTATACGTCTGTCGCAGAGTTTGACTCGCAGAGTTTATTTAACATGAGTAAGTTATACGTCTGTCGCAGAGTTTAACATGAGTAAGTTATACGTCTGTCGCAGAGTTTGACATGAGTAAGTTATACGTCTGTCGTAGGGTTTGATATGAGTAAGTTATACCTCCGTCGCACAGTTTGACATGAGTAAGTTATACGTCAGTCGCTGAGTTTGACATCAGTAAGTTATACGTCTGTCGCAGAGTTTGACATGAGTAAGTTATACGTCTGTGGCAGAGTTTGACATGAGTAAGTTATACGTCTGTCATAGAGTTTGACATGAGTAAGTTATATGTCTGTTGTAGAGTTTGACATGAGTAAGTTATACGTCTGTGGCAGAGTTTGACATGAGTAAGTTATACGTCTGTCGTAGGGTTTGACATGAGTAGGTTTTATGTCAGTCGCAGAGTTCTTTAGCTGTATAGGCCTTCGGGTTTGTTGTTTTTTCTTTCTCGTTTTGAATGTGCTCATAATATTCTCCGAGACCAAATTAGTGGGTGGTTGGCGGGTGCCCTGGTGTGGTTTACTCCTTCTTTCCTGTCAAGCATCTATCGTCCTTATCTCCCCTCCTTCTATTTTGTATTTGTTACTCCCTTGTAACTCATCTATTCTTCGGCACTAATATGACCTTATTGTGTTGCAAGTGCAGTAAAACTCTTACTAGATCTCATAAGACCAAATTTTTGGCATATGACAGCTAGGAAAGACTGCTAGGATTATGGTGGTTAACTGTTTGAGGACGTAACGAACACACATGTGTGGGTGAGCGGTTGGCGGGTGCTCTCGTGTGGTTTGCTTCTTCTTTCCTATCAAACATATATAGGCCCTATCTCTCCTTCTTCTTCTTTATGTTTGTTACTCTCTTGTAATAGCTCTAATCTTCTGGCGCTCATATGACCTTATGCAGTTGTGAACGCCGTAAAACCTCTACTAAAACTAAAGACATTTTTCCCACCTATTGGGCAATATTAATCTTTTTTTTTGTAATTGCAGGTGGCAAATTCTTCCAGGCCCTGGCCACAGAGGGGTTGATCAACGAGGAGCCTCTGTCGGCCTCGGAGCTTGACCGCGTGTACTCACCTCTGAGGGAGCAGGTGTCTGACAGTATTCACCGACAGGAGGCCGTCTTGTCACAGATACAGGTGAGGGGAAGGTGGTGGTGGTTGGGGGG